ACACAGTAAAGCTCTAGTACTATTGTCGCGTGGACAAGACAGATTTCTGTTGGTAATTCTTTTAACCTATTCTGGTAAAGAATTACCTCGTGTTTCCTGCTTTCCTTCTCCCAGAGGTAAACATCTCTGTACTCCTCACATATTCGCTGGTGACAGGTGATGCAGTAGAATTTGGAGTAGTTGTAACATGTTGCACACTCAATGTAGTGTTGATCTGTTCCTTTTTTACTCCTAGTTGTATTAGGTTTTTTTGACGCAAACTTTCATATAATTATTATGTGCTACATAATAACATGCGTTGTTACAACGCAAAATGTAATAACAACGCAAAATGTAAAAACCCCGATAATTAAATTTTCTGTTTTTATATTTTGCGTCAAAACCAACTCAGAATCTAATAATGCATAATTCGAAGATTATTATTACATTTTGCGTTATTACATTTTTACATTACATGAGATCACCACAAAATGCAATAATGCATAGTGTAATAATGGGAATTTGAGATTATTGTGATTATTACAATTTGCGTTGTTACATTTTGCGTTGAGATTGGGAAAAAACAAGAACGCAAAATGTAACATCACACTTTTTGGTTAGCCGGATAGAAAACAATTTTCAATAGAGTAGTGGCAGAAGAAAGAAAATTGAAACAAAAGGGAAAAAAATCGAGGAGCGTTCAATAAACAATGTCATTGGGGCTCGGAAAGAAGCCAAAAAACCCCGCTTTTCTATGACTTAGTCGCCCGCGTGGCGCAGTGGTTACAGCGTCTGCTCTAGAGTCGCGGAGTAATGAGTCAATCCTTACTTCGCTGGTTCCAATCCCACTGTGGGACGTAGAGACCGGTCCTTTGGATGAGACCGTATAAACCGAGGTCCCGTGTTGCAGTAAGTGTTGGCACGAAAAAGATCCCTCCCAATTCAATGGCCCTATAAATGCCGAGCATAGGACAAAATTTGCAGCTCTCCACCGGCAAGTGCACCGTTGGCGTCTCCATATGAGTAAAAAATTCTCGAGAGGGACGCCAAACAATATACAATAAATCTATCACTTAATGATTTCGCTAAAATTTTCTTTTTTTATTAAAACACATATCCGTAACATTTTCATCAATTTCTATCTGTTTTTCGAACACATTTTTCAGAATGACCCTTTGTATACTGGAATATGGCAGATCCTATTATTTGCTGTACTTGTTTTGACTCTCTGATAGATGTTTTTCTAAGTTTGGGAAATGAACAAGTCAAAGGTTGAAAGATCTGACAAATTTTGTTGGTGTGACAAAACATTAACTTTCCTAAAACTCCTTTAATCTTCATGGCCTATTGGTTTGGATGTTGTCATGAAGGATTTCCTCATTCTGTTTCCTTCCTCTCATAAACCTTTCATTTTTTTTGCAAAGAAATATGTTTTCTAGACTCCTTCCGAAATTGAATTTCCTCTCCGAATATGAATTTGAATAACAAGACCGCTAATATTTAAGAAAATTGCATATAAAACTGTTTTACGCTCTTGCAATGTTTTGCTCTTCGTAGGCCTTTGCAGTGTTGTCAAGTGCATCTTATTATTTATTTGTTTTTAAGGTTTAAAGCAATCGGATTCGAGTTTCATTATCTGTTAGAATTTCAGACAAACGTGGATAAGTACAATTTATGTTTTTTTAAGTAATTGTTTGGATATTCCTACACGCTGTTCTGTTCACTCATTATTCATAATATAGGGTGATCTTTGAGTATTAAACTTTTAACTACAAAATGTTTCTCTTAAACAGTCTGAACTATCACCAAACTAATTTGTATCAATTTTGCTATGTGTCTTAAAGTCATAAAACATAATCAGTGATAATTTGTTGAAATTTCGCAAATTTACATCGGTTATTGTCATAGTTGCCAAGGCAGCATTTTGATGCCCATTATATAATTTTTGTTAATTGAAATCTACTTTTTCATTTGTCTATAAAACAGGCATTGATTGCTGTTAATTTCACATATGTCAGTTAATTTATTTTGGGATATTAACAAGTTTTACAGCTGCTATAATGATGCATTTAATTTTACTTTAGAAAACTAATTCTTGACCATTCATTTTTAATGCAGTGTCTCGAATAGCCCCCCACCCTTGTTTTCCAGCATCAAACATTGAAATAATGCGATGAAAAGTGGCCACACAAACTGTTATCAAATCACTAAAGATTCAATAATGAGAGAAAGTCAATCTATATGACTACTATGTTGTATTTCAATGAGCTAATGGCATTATTTGTTGAAAGTCCCTCGTAGATTAATGCAGTTTACAATAGATCGAATGAATATGTGCATTACAGACCAGCAAACGCAAAATTCTCTCTCTCATTCCAATAATAAAATGAATTGTTTCTGCTTGTCCATAGTAATACAATGATTAATATATGGAGTAAACACCCCACCCCATTGCTGCCCCTCCTTGCTAGAGATACACACATACAGGGTGTTTCAGAAAACATGCAACTATTTACTTTTCCCTCAAAATTGATATGCCTCGGGGTTTCCGATCCGATACCTAAATGTATCTATAAGCCTAGGTATCGGATCGGAAACCCTTGTCTAGCGAAGATGGGTCTGAATAGTCTCGCATCCACTGATATTTTCTTTTTTGTTACGATTGTTATATTTGATATCCCTTTAAAATGTACTTAATGAGGATCCTTATTTCAGTCATTTAAGGTTTGTATGAAGACCTGGAGTCCATCGAACCCCAGAAACAGAAGCTAGTGTTTAATCGACAAATCTTTAAGGGATTTTACATTCTTGACTGTTTAAGATTCTCATGTATGATTTCCACTACAAGTATATGAAAAGAGTACCAAGGCCCTTTTTATAGACACAGACTCTCTCTATTGATGACATTGCCACTGAAGATCCCAAACATGACGGAAAAATGCACAGATTTGTTTTTCTATTAAACATAAAAGAAAGACATATCATTTTTTTATTTAAAATACCTCTTGTAAAATATTTTAAAATCGTTGGTGGTGCACAAGTATTTGAAGTATTAAATTTAATTGAATAACAATAATTGCCGCCAATCCCTTAAGGAGCATGCGCACAAAAATTGAAAATTTGCCATCTTTTGGAAAACTGGATTGTCAAGTGACTTTTCAAAATGTAAAAACTGTACTCTATGTATATCGTAAAAGAATTTTGATACTTTATTCTGATTGTTTTTATGTTTATTTAAGGAATGACTCTAATTCTTGGCCAAATTATCGAGTATAATATGGTTTGGGTCAGTTTACGCTTTATAATACGCGAAGCGGAGGTTAAAAAAGCGTAAACTGACCCAAACCAGATTATACTCGATAATATGGCCAAGAATTAGAGTCATTCCTTATAATTTAATTTTAAAATAGTTAAACAACTTTTGATGTAAAATTGTATTGCCTTTTATAAGTTCAAATGTACCGTGCAATAATACAACCGTAGTAACGGAAGTGATTTGAAGCGAGGGGAGGTTATAACTGATACATAAATCTAGAAGCCATGATGTTTGTTTACATGAGGTAAGAACGAGAAATTGTTAATAGTTGAAGGTACATTTATTAAATCTGGAATTTTCCATGGATTCCGAGGACTGATAATGAGGGGATTGCATGGATATGATGATTAAGCTGGTCGTCAAGGGGGTGTGTCCCCATACCAAAACAGATTATACAAAATGTTATGCATTCCTTTTTTGGCGGATTAATAAAAAGCGTAAACTGACCCAAGCCGGGTTATACTCGATAAATTAATTTGGCTAAGAATTAGAGTCATTCCTTATAATTTAATTTTAAAATAATCAAAGAACTGTGGATGTTAAATCTTTTTGCATTTAACGACTTCAAATTTACCGCGCAATAATACAACCTTAGTAACGGAAGTGATGTGAAGCGAGGAGAGGTAATAACTGAACCATAGATCTAGCAGCATTGTTGTGTGTTTACATGAGGTAAGATCAAGTAAATGTTTGAAGTTAAAGATACAGTTATTAAATTAATTTTTTTGGATTCCGAGGACTGGAAATGAGGGGATTGCATGGATAAGATGAATAAGCTGGCCGTCAAGGAGGCGTGTCCCCATACCAAACCAGTTTATACAAAATGTTCTGCGTTCCTTTGTGGAAATCAACCAAGTAGAGGCGAGAATATGAACAAAATCAAATTATTTCTAGTGACACAGGATCCATCAAACTGCAATGTCTCCAAAAATTTCCTTTTTTTGCATTCAGTGTATGGCTCTAACTGTAGTTTTAATCTATAACGTGTAAGTTACACAAGATTAACATTCGATTATATTTCTATTATCATTATTTTTAATTTATGATTTACGATTAGTGTTAAATATCTGTATGGCGAATCTCAAATAGCACAAGTTTGACATACAATCGATTTTAAATACTAGATCATTCAGGCCAGTGTCCACCAACTCGTGACTATGACCAAACGTCTTATATATTAAACATTTATTAGTAGATACCGATACCGTATCACATGTGAGACGTACTACGCTTCATATTCTTGCGCGATAGCTTTAAGCAAACATGTCAATGGTAATCTCAAGCTTGTAAATACATAATTGTTGTCAAATTGAAAGTTTAAATGCTCACCATACAGGATAAATACAGTAAACTGTTGCAAAAAACATCGTTTAAGAAAAATCACACACACATATCATAAAAATAGTCAATTTCGGTCCCCCTTGGACGTTTTTCTTTGACTTTTCTTTAAAAAGTTTCTTTATCTCCTTGAGTTTAAGGATTAATTTCACTCTTGAGGAAGTTCATGTCATCGCTTTTGTCTACATTTACAGGTATTCGAAAGTCAAAATGCATGGCATGGGTCTCAACAGACCAGTAGGTAGAACATTTCCAAAGTACGCCTGATTTAAGTACTTTATGATTTAAGCTCATTATTGGAAGATGGGTATTACTTTATTTGTGCTGTAGTATATTGACACAGATCAGACCATTTGTAAAACAAAGTTTATACACGAGTGCCCCAGTGTTCCACATAGACCTCTTTTACTGTTTTTTTTCGCAACGCGCATTTGCCCTTGAGATACTTGTAAACACAGATTGTAGGACTGTCTGCACGTCCTATAATCAGATTGTTTTGGTTATCAACACAGACAGCGTACAATTTGCTTATCACTGAATATGAATCGAGCAGAAAATCCAAAAAATGTCCGTCCTGGTCCAGCAAATGGATACCATATTTAGGTATAGGGCCAGTACCCGGTGGTTCATATCTAAGACTAGATCTAAGATTAAATGATATGTAAGAACAACACACCAATATATTTCCAAGAACATCTGTGCAGATTCCAGACGGGGAAAAACCTGACATCTCATCACTACCAGAGTAGGAGAACAGATATTCTCCTGATCCGGTCACCACCTGAACCTTTTCACCAATATAATCTGATGTACATATGTCACCATTAATGTTTTCTGTGATAAAGCTTACACTCGAATATAAGTCCTCCCCATTAACATTTTTCTGAATGTCCTGTAACTTAATGCCATCGCTGGTATATCTGGCTATTTTCCATTTTTTCTCTTTTTTCATCCCAACTAATATGTTTCCATTAATCGGGGAAGAGAAGATTGACCAAGGCTCCCAGTCTTCCGAGGTGATAAGTGTCGTGGTGGTCATATCCATGTTTATTTTGTATATGGCTTTCTCTTTATAATCCGTATATATCAAATTGTCTTCTTTTGTGATCGAGTGGTATCCCTTCATCTGATTTCCTGTTTTTACTTTTTGAAGAATATTTCCTTGCAAGTCAAATTGAATGACATATTTATCATCACCACTTGCCCAATACATGCCTGATGGAACAGCTGGTGATAAATGAGACAGGCCATTTAGTCCAGGTATTCTAATTGTCTGTGTCTTAATTAAAAAGGAGCAATGCTCCATACTTAGCTTTTGAGCTGATTTGGAGTTGAATTGTTGCAATGATTTCTTGATATTTTTAACTTCTCTCGAAACTTTCCCTTCTGCAAATGGTTTTATATGACAAAAAATCTGTTCTATTTCTTTCGCAATATCCCACTCTCTTCAAAGTTTGGAAGCTCAGATTCAATTATTTCCGGAAATCTTACGAGAATAACGTTTGAGTTTTTGTTGTTGTACCTGATAACCTCGGTTAATTTGCATGACGACAGATCACTGTAACAGTCATCAATCAAATTGTTAAGGTATGAGATATAGTCTTTTACTTTTTTCAGTTGCTTTTCTTTCTCGTCCACAAGTGAAGCCTCCATTTCGTTTAGTTTGGCATTGTTATCATCAAGAACACTGTCAGCTCTCTGATTCATGGATAGCCGTAATTCAGCAATTTTTTTCTTGACATCGACTTTACTTTTCTCTAGTGATTTCACTTCCTCTTCACATTGAGGAATAAGGATATCTCGGATACTGACCACCTCTTCCTGGCATTGCTGTAGACATATATTATAAACAACTTCAAGGTCAAGTACCTGATGGCCGTTGTGATCTGTGGTTAAGCATTCCGAACAAATAGGGACTGGACATTCATAACAGAACTTCTCTAAAAGCATTGGAGGATGAAAAAGACAGTTTTCTTTTGGTAATTGTTTTAACCTATCCTTATAATGAACTACCTGGAGATTTCTATTTTCGTTTTCCCGGATATGACCTTCTCTGCACTCTTCACACATTCGCTGGTGACAGGTGTTGCAATAAAATTTTGAGTACTTGTTACATGTGGCACACTCAATGTAGTGTTGCTCCGTGATTGTACTAGAGTTCATAATAGAGGATAGGATGATCTGTAAAAAGCAAATGTGCTGATGAAATTTCAATGGCTGTAGTTTACTGATACTCATTGAACAGAAAGCTCCTTGGCAGGGTAGATGAACAGTAATGTTCTACATCTTAAACCTAGAAATGTTAATTAAATAAGAAAAATTCATCTTGTACATCTTGAAATCAAAATCATATGTAATTTGTCTTACCTAAAACAACGGAAAATACATATATATTCTCACCAGATTACATTAAAGGTCGATATTCTTAATCAGATAGTTATTCTATTTGTAAGCCTAACTTCCCTTCCATCTGAAAGGGCCGTCTCATTACTTAAACAGTTATGCAATTACTACCGTAAGATAAAAATATATTTAAATTCTTTTTGAGGTTAGAATATATTCAATTCAGCACCGCACACAGAAAAAATATTCACAAATATGAGCTAGTCAACCAGAGACAACATAACGTACAAGATAAAATAGAGCTATTCATACTTAATCAGATGGTTTTTTTTTTCTTTTGTAGGCTGTTTAACGAGTTTATTGTGCATTAAAAGAAAAAAAACTTTAAGTACGATAGTACTATAGATTACTCTGTTGTTGAGGAAGATTTACACAGTCATAAATCAAACAAAGTGGGTTTTGTATTTGAAGGCGTATTGTACTTCAAATATTAAATATTTCTACAAAATGTTATTTTACATCTGCAGGGAAATAATTTTTCGTTACGGCTATTCATACAAGAAGTCAAATATTATTTCTTTAAAAGATTTGATATATCATAGGTTGGTTTCAAATTGGGCGTTTTAATTGTGCGAAGGTATTAAACTGTTTAAAACTCCTGTATCTTATAATATTTAAAAAAATAGTTTATCCGTATTCAGTCTAGCTATTGTCGACCTCATCCTGTGCAACATTAACACATGGAACCGGTCAGGGAACAACCCCAGACCCCAGCTTACATGGCTGTGTCCACAGAACTTCTACCATGCCAAGCGTGCCGAGTGCATACTGTACCCCGCGGTACAACACATCATGTCTAACCTTAATCTTTAACACAGGGCATCATACAATGTCACAGCTCCTTCAGAACTTCATCTATGACACAGGATACCATGAATCCCAATATATTGTACATACAAGTTCACAGTTACTACAGAACTTCTACTACGCCCAGAGTGCTGAGTGTATACTGTAACCCGCCGTACAACACATCATGTCTAATCTTAATTAGGGGGGTGTACGGCCACTTTTAGTGCAGTGAGAGCAAAATGTAAACATTTCTTCAAATGGCTAAAATACATTATATTTTGATCAAATTTTAAGTCTTTTTGATAAAGATACAATAAATATGCATAACCGAATGCATGTTGTTCATATATAATCTATACTTTTGCAGAAAAATGCTTTTGATATGCTCCTTAGAACTGCGCAGCTACAGAATTCAGCAGAGCCATAAAAAATCCAAAAAAATATGCAAACTGTGCATTAATGTTCTCTCTACAACCATTTGTTGAGAAAATGTCTAAATTTTGCACTTTTAAATGATAATTTCAAGTTCAAAACAAGGTACCATTGTCTTCAAAAAGAGTGTAAAGAACCATGAAAGTAGTTCATAGATAGCAGCACGTGGTCTATTTTTAGCACAGAATCTTGTTTTCCAGACCTCTTCTTAATATGGAGGGGCATAACAATCTTTAAATGTAGAAGAGAATTACAGTTGCAAAATATTCCAAATAATACATGAACACTTTTAAAAGAGGAAAGGTGTTATAGTGTGGCTTGAACTAATTTATTTAGTATTTTTATCGAACAGTTGTTATATAGTTTACGTATTGATATAAAAAAAATTTAAACTCTTTGATTCCAGGTACGGAAAAATGAGCACCATCAAAGTTGAAAATTAAGAGTGTGTAAGTTTGCCACAGATAAATTATATTATCTATTAAAATTTAATTATCCACAATAAAACACAAAGAGCGTTATCAAAAATTTCGCGAAATATCTCTATATCTACAAAACCACAGTTCAGATTAGAAGCCAAACACAAGTTCTTTAAATAGCATATGCTGAAGTTTTGATCCTTGTTTGTGATGTCAATCTGAAAATGACGTCATTATTCAGGTACTTTTAACGAAAAATGGTTGTCTCAGTGGAACTCGTGGCACATGTATGTCTTAGAAATGCCTTTGAAGTAGCGTATAAGAATGTGTTCATGTGAAGCATGATACTTGTTATGTTGCCCGGTAAAAGCAAGTTTGAAAAGGGATGTGTTTTTAATAAAACAATATGCTATCAAAGACCTTCAATTAAAATTTTACACTTTGAAAAATACTTGAATATTTCAACAATAATATAAATATCAAATACCTAAGATATTGTTTACTTTTTGATCACCCCTCGTATACTGTGTCAAATAAACATGCATTTATAATTTTCATTACAGAGGAGCAACAGTTGAAAAGGCATGAAATCATTCAGAGTGGGTTAGGAGATTTAATGAATAATTTTTTTTTCTATTTGTCCATATTTTCAAAATTACAATTGTACAAAGTAAAGAGAAAAAATCAACCTATAAACATCCTTAAAATGATGTTTGGTGGTCCTCCCAACTCAGGGAAAAATTATTGGGTCCGTATTTATAGGTGAGAAAAAAATCCTTAAAATTTAAACAGAATTGTTGACGGAAGAAAAAGAAAAAAATATCGTGTAATGGAATGTTAAAAAAATGAGTCGGGCCATTTCTAGGCAGTAGATCGAGGGAGAGGGCAACCAAATATTTTTATAACAAGTGGTATTATAAGGCTAGTACATGTTCCATCACATACTTAGTAATGCAATTTTTAAAAATCTTTGACATATTTTGAAAAACAAACATAGGATTTTCGGGGGAGAGGGGGTAGCACTCACTTTTTTTGCGATGATAGACATAGCATATATGCAATGGACCTTTCTTTGCAAACATTGTGCTCGCTTCTAAATTTCATAGAAACAACTCATTATATTTTATCAAGATTCGTATGTTCAATGAGCGAGAGCTTACAACGTTGTCAACATAATAAGACATGATGCGTTTTTGTGTCCAAACATTACTCCATATAATGTGTGGGCCATTGCAAACATTCTAGCTATTTATGTGAGGTGCCTGAAGGATATCCTATAACTGACTATTTTTTCTATCTAACTTCTAAACAAAATAGACATATGTACCAACTTTTCGAATGTAAGACATGTAATTACAATTTATTTTTCATGCACTGCTTATTGTTTAACATTTTCAAATTAAATGCTAAGCATCCTCCTTGCAGTGCCCCATTTGAAAATAACTTCTATCGCCACAGAAAAAAGACCCACCGTAAACACATATGTTTAGGACATTTTTATCTTTTTTTCTTGAGTTTTAAAGAATCAAGACTTGTTCCATAAAAATTAAATATAATCATGGTAATAAACGGATTTATCCACAGCAGATATATGCACATGCCAACCATGTGCTTAGTGGAATAATATTAACGAGGAATTTCGAGTTGTAAACAGAACAGTTTTTCCCGATTTGCTGGAGTGAGGTTAAAATCGCGTTTTTTCATTAATCAGACGATGCGATGCAACAAATAAAAGTAGTAAGTAATATTACCTAATGATTATTACTTAGTAATTTCTTGTCTTGATGTTATTATGGTCGCATTTATTCTAAAATCATTGTTATTCGAACTCTGTGTGACAGAGGAATGGCGGACCAAAATAAACACATGGCCTCAGGAAGACACACCCATATGAAAAATCAAATTTTCAAGAATTATGGATAATGACAAGAAAAAAACGAAACAAATGGTTGTAGCCATATTATCAATGAATCAAACTAACTCCATTTTCAATGCATTTCTCATCTCATGAATGCTGTTGCTGCGCAGTTCTAACATGATTAATTTTCTTCTAATTAAGACAGAATAAACTTAATTGTTTACTAATTTTGGTCTCTAACAGTAGGTAATTAGTGCATTAGCACTTTGAGTAACTTTGGGCTAGTTTAGTAGAGTATTAAGCGCATTCTTGGTATTTCTTAGTTCACACCAGACTAGATCCAATATGGCTTGTGCATCCCCCTTAACCTATAACACAGGACATCACATGTAGTTAGGACTTTCA